CTAACTACTCAAAGGAAAATCTCAACGTCACAACTTGTTTACTCAGTGAATTGTGTCCTTCATGATGTGTGCCTTGCTCACATAGGGTGTGTGTGTGCGGAGGGGGAGAGAGATTTGCAACTTTTTTGTTTTCAGAATTTTTGCTGAAGAATAAGTGCTATTCAAGGATGGAATAACACAACTGCCACATCTAACACTTATTCCTTCAAATTTGCATTTGGTCTTATCTATATTCATTTTAAGTTTTATACTTTAGAACATAGCATTTGTAACTAAAAAAGTGTTAATTAATAAAAACAAGGAAAGAAAAACAAGATGAAAACAAAAAAAAGACAGGGGTGAGCATTTTATGTTAGTATCATATATATTCATGAATATATCCTTGATGGTCCCCACCACCACTACCACCATAATATGGAAAAATGCAAAGCTGTCATTGAACAACTCTCAATGGACAATTTGTTATACTGCATCACAATCCTGAATTTGCATGAAGTCAGGATGGGATAAGGGAGCAAAAGGGAAGGCAGACTGCACAACACTAGTGGTAATGGTATGGGAGTGAGGAGGGAGAGCCATGGAGGGGGAAAGTGCTGGTTTAAAACAATGGCAGAAGTTTAATTAAAACGGGTGGAGGAAATTGAAAAGAAAGTGGCAGCTTTAAACATCAGTAGATGTTCGACTAAAGGAGGGATTGGGGAAATTGAGCAGAAATAAGTGGCAATTTAAAACAATGACAGAGGTTTGAGCAGAGTGAACAGGGGAAGACACTGAGGGGGAAGAGGTTTGAGTACAGCAATATGGAAGTTATGAAAAGCTCTGTTGCATGAGCTTTTTGGTTCTAGCTTCTGTGTTGAACCCATTTCTGCTATTTTTCCTTGCTGAAACTGGTTTTTTGTGTGTGCCTTCTACCCTACTAGTTTCAACAAACACCAGCTACCACTGGCCACAGCTTTTCCTATATGTTTTTCCCCCCATGCAGGATAGTCTCTTTTCTCTCCCGTGTTGGGCAAAACTATAGTCCTCTTTACTTCAGCAGGTAGAAGTGAAGTACCAGGCTTTGGAGAGAAGCTTTTGGGTTGGACCCACTTCAAACCTATTTTGACATCTTCATAGTGACCGGAAGAGTGTGTGACTGTACTTTTTCAGGAAGCAATTCTTTTGTGATTTGAAATGTGAGAATTTCTCTTAGACTGCAAACAATCCATGCCCACTCCCCTGGGGGAAAGCCCAACTGAAGTCAGTGGGAATTACTTCTTAGTAACCTGTATAGATTTTGCTATCGCTGACAGAGAGCTTCCTTAACTATTTATTCTTGAGAAAGAGCCATATGAAGAAAAATACATTAAAATCTACACAATTGTAAATGTTGTAAAATGACTTTATTTTTATTTTTAAGTGAACATAAAACATTTACAATAGGACTATGAATATTGTTACTGATAGTGGATCACAGCCACGTAAGTAAGAGTTGTAAAAGCACTTAAAGGGCATTCCTATTTAGTGTGTGTGTGTGTGTGTGTGTGTGTGTGTGTGTGTTTGTAATGCATTTATCACAGAGGCTCATGTATTACATTTCTATAATGTTGCTCATTCCACCTGTCACCTCTCAATACTTTGAGCTCATTGTATATAGTATCATCATAAAAACACCCATTAGATTTATTTTCACTTACAAGACGCAGACATTGCCTTATTTGTCCTTCGTTCATCCATCCCAGTGTTCACAAAGGAAACAGAGAGGCAAGTTCTATCTTATTTTCATGACACCTATTTCTGAAGAGCAACAAAATGTGCAGTTTTGAATGTCGTCACATGTCAAATACAGATGAGAAATGATTGCTTCTAAAAATAACTTGTCATTTTATCAGGTGTTTTTTTTTTATTCTTCACTCTACTGCATCATAACCAGTTCACTTGCTTCTTTCTTGTGTTACTGGGGCCATTGGTAAAACAAATATAGGTAAAGGTAAAGGTACCCCTGCCCGTACGGGCCAGTCTTGACAGACTCTGGGGTTGTGCGCCCATCTCACTTAAGAGGCCAGGGGCCAGCGCTGTCCGGAGACACTTCCGGGTCACGTGGCCAGTGTGACATTGCTGCTCTGGCGAGCCAGAGCCGCACACGGAAACGCCGTTTACCTTCCCGCTAGTAAGCGGTCCCTATTTATCTACTTGCACCCGGGGGTGCTTTCGAACTGCTAGGTTGGCAGGCGCTGGGACCGAGCAACAGGAGCGCACCCCGCCGCGGGGATTCGAACCGCCGACCATTCGATCGACAAGTCCTAGGCGCTGAGGCTTTTACCCACAGCGCCACCCGCGTCCCTAAAACAAATATAGAAGCCAACAAATATAGAAGCCAATAAATTCCCCTTTGATTGTTTTTCATGAAATACTGAGGTCCGGAACAGGTCATACTTCACCAATATATTCTTTCCGCATCTGTAACATATCTAGAATGTAGAGATGTGGCAGAAATTTGTGTCAGTTTGTACCTCAGGGTAAATCTGCCTAATTCACACTTTCTGAAACACTAGTCCTCATGAATATTCACCAGCATTTAGCACAAAATTGTGCTAAAATGCTGATGAATGTTCATAAGGACTTAGAAAAGAATAAGCTATGCAAATGTGGAGAACTGAATTTAAGATTCGAAGAATGAGAACAAAGAGAAACCAAAATTGACAGTTTCTCCCATCCCTACTAGTATGTTATGGCCAAGCCAATACCACTGTACCTCAGGTTACATACGCTTCAGGTTACATACGCTTCAGGTTACATACGCTTCAGGTTACAGACTCCGCTGACCCAGAAATATTGCTTCAGGTTAAGAACTTTGCTTCAGGATGAGAACAGAAATTGTGCTCTGGCGGCGCGGCGGCAGCATGAGGCTCCATTCGCTAAAGTGGTGCTTCAGGTTAAGAACAGTTTCAGGTTAAGTACGGACCTCCAGAACAAATTAAGTACTTAACCCAAGGTACCACTGTATTGGCAACAGCATCGCTGCTAAGGAGATGTAATGATCTCCATTCAGGGAAGGAATTCAATCCTACACCTTTTCCTCAGCACCTGGATTATTATTTGTTATTTATCGTATTTATTCACCACCTTTTCCACAAAGTAACCCAAAGTGACTTACACAATAGTATAAACATTAAAGCCAATTATAAGAAACCAGAGCAGAACAAAAACCTACATAAATAGGTAAATTCCATACATATAAATGACAGGTCTAATGCATACAAGCCTGAATTTGACTGAACACTAATGGGAGCAAGATACACTTCCAAATATCAAATCTGCCTGATCAATTCTAGAGAAGTGATCCATCTAGCTCTTGTGGAACCATATCAACCAGCTACAGAGTGTTTATATATATGAAAAAGCTGATGTGGAAAGTGTCTCTTATTGCTCATTTATGGAGTACTTGGTTTTTGTTTTTTTAAAAAATAAAATCTATGGTAAGATAAGTGTTACCAGTCTCCACCGGAGATGCATAGTTCCACAAAACAAGGAAATGGGTGAAGAGAGAGGAATGTAACAAGTCTATGTGACAAGGAACTGCCTGGCAGAATAAAAAGTGAAATAGCTATTAGGTCTGCACTCTTCTGTGAGGAAGAACGCTGGGCTCTGAAGTTGGATGGGAACTGGCTTGAAATGGAGTGCAAATGGAAATGTCATGATGAACCCTGAGAAGTCTGAAGATGCACTACGTTTAAGCTGAAACCATTAATAGAATTGTGAATGTGGCGGTGAATGCAGGAAAAAAAAGGGAAGGATCTTGTTTGGGCATGCAAAAAGATACACACACAATGAAATACTATATACAGCCGTACTTTGGAAGTCGAACAGCCTAGTTCTTGAACGTTTTGGCTCCCGAACAATCGAAACCTGGAAGTGACTGTTCAGGTTTTTGAACGTTCTTTAGGAAGCTGAACATCCGATGGGGCTTCTGCACCTTCTGATTGGCTGCAGGAGCTTCCTGCAGCCAATCAGAAACCACATTTTGGTATTCAAACGTTTTGGAAGTCGAACTTCCGGAGTGGATTCCGTTCGACTTCCAAGGTACGACTGCATATCTATTTAAAAGTAAGTCTCATTGTGTTCCATGGGGATTATTCCCAAGTAATGGGGTTGTAGCCTAAACATAGATTACAGGAAAGACTAAAAATTAAATAGATTTGATTCCCTCCCCCCATGTATTAGAAGTAACCATTGGCTGGAAAGAGCAGGTGCATAAAAAGGCTGCTCTCTCCATCAGATATATAACATAATATCTTTATTTTCTGGCTACATGTTGTAGTGCCTAGAATGCAGGCTTTATAGCAAGGTTCAAATGTCTTCTTAGATATCTAGCACTTATTTACTTCATGGGATATCTTCTTGGCTATTTTATTTCTAATCAGCTTATTACAAAAGCATTCATCTACATTCTGTCATCTTAAACATTGAAATCTAAAATATGGAGCTTTATCCTGAGATGGTGTTTGGGCTGGTGTTTGGGACTGGGATGTTTGAGCAAATGCTGAGGCCCCCAAACCAGACACCAGATACTGAATCCACCCATCTCCAAATTTCCTGAGATTTGATTACCTCTTTCAGGATACTAGAATCCAGGGTCATCCAATGACGCTGAATGTTGAAAGACTCAGGACTGACAAAAGAAGGTAGTGCATGGTTAAACTATGGGATTCGCTCAGTTGGTTACAGCGTGGTACTGATAGCACCAAGGCTGCAGGTTCAATCCCCATAAGGGACAGCTGCATATTCCTGCATTTTAGGGGGTTGGACTAGATTATCATTAGGCTCCCTTCCAACTCTGATTCCATGATTCTAAGATGTATTGATGCTATCAACTTGGATGGCTTTAAAAGTGGATTAGACAAATTCATTAATTTTCAGGTTTTCCATGGCTACTAGCGATGATGGTTATGTTCTTCCACTGACAGAGGGATTTGATAAGTTTTTATCATCCCCCCCTCCTTTTCCTTATATTTTTAAAGGGCAGATTCTCCATGCATTAGATCAATGGCACCTACGTGAGCAGACTCTTGTGTACTTCACATCTGATCATGGGGCACATGTGGAAGAAATATCAGCCAACGGAGAAGTCCAGGGTGGTTACAATGGAATATATAAAGGTATGAGCCATTTACTGTTCTTACTATTGTGTTTTACAAGAGCTGGGGGGGGGGAATGTACAATTATAACCTTCTTCTTCTTCTTTGGTGATCACTTGTAGCCGAGTAAGATTGTCTTCCATGAACACAGTCTTAATGGTGTGTCCATAGGTGACTGTGGAGGCCAATTTTGGATCCATATATCCTTCCACAGTGGGGACATGGGTTTCTGGGCGGGAGTTGATCATGGTCAGGGTTTGCTAAACGCGCTTTCCTCTTAGCACATTTCTCCCTTTTGTCCTGAATTTGAGCGTCTTCAAACTCCATGACACCTTTGGTAAAGGCTATTCTTCAGTTGGAGTGCTTGCAGGCCAGTGTTTCCCAATTGTCAGTGTTTATACTACATTTTTTTTAGATTTGCCTTGAGAGAGTCTTTAAAACTCTTTTGTTGGCCACGAGCATTACGCTTTCCATTTTTAAGTTCGGAATGGAGTAGTTGCTTTGGAAGACGATAATCAGGCATCCAAATAACATGACCAGTCCAACAAAGTTGATGTTGAAGAATCATTGCTTTGACACTGGTTATCTTTGCTTCTTCCAGTATACTGGAAGTTCGCCTGCCTTCCCAAGTGACATGTAAAATTTTTTGGAGACACCGTTGGTGGAATTTTTCGAGGATTATAACAGTACTCGAATGCTCTATGTTTTTTTCATGAAAGTGAATATACATTTAGTATAAGACTGTGAATGTTATTGCTTTTGGGATGTCACAGACATATAAGTAATAGTTGTAAAACTTGAAGAACATATATTAAGTATGTGCATTTAAGTAACACATTTATCACTGATATTCAAGTGATAAATTTTATACAGTGTTGTTTATTTTAACCCAGCTTCTAGTAATCTTATGGTGTAGCTTCTATTAACATGCATAAGATCCTAAAAAGACACCCGTTAGATTTACTTTCTCTCAGAATAAGCACATGCTCTCTTACAGTGTACTCCTAATGACCTCCACTCAGAAATAAATCCTATTAAATTCAATGGGGCTTACAACCATATGAGTGGGGGTAGAAGTTTAGCTTTATTTGTTTGTATCTCACTTATCCATCCAAATCTCATTCTACAGGAAGGAAATAGTGATGCAAATTCTGCATTATTTGGGGAGAATGCCTTGCCTAATGAGATTGGCTGCCCAAAGAACTGCAGTCTTGAACAGCCTTTTCCTAACTTCAGGCCCATAAATGTTGTTGGACTACAACTCCCATTATTCCTGACTACCGCCTCTACTGGCTAGGCATGATAGGAGTTATAGTCCAACAGGATCTGGAGACTCATGGTTGGGAAAGGCTGATCAAGATAATAGCATGAATTCGCATATAATGAAACAGACTCACATTGCAAAAAACATCATCAGTAACAAAAACTCTTGACTTGAGAGGACTGTGGCCAGCCAATAGCCCATCAAGTCCAGCATCCTGTTCTCACAATGGCCAACCAGATGCAGCTTGGGAAACCTGCAAGCAGGATTTAAGCAAAAGGGCACTCTCCCCTCCTGTGATATCCAGCAATTGGTACTCAAAAGCATTACTGCCTCCAACCAGGGAAGCAGGACATAGTCATCATGGCTAGTAGCCTTTGATAGCCCTCTTCTCCATCTATTTTTCTAAAACTTCTTTAAGACAATCTAGGTTGATGGCAATCACTGCTTCCCATAGGAATGAGTTCCATACTTTAACTATGAAGTACAAGGGACGTGGGTGGCGCTGTGGGTTAAACCACTGAGCCTAGGACTTGCCGATCAGAAGGTCAGCGGTTCGAATCCCCGCGATGGGGTGAGCTCCTGTTGCTCGGTCCCTGCTCCTGCCAACCTAGCAGTTCGAAAGCACGTCAAAGTGCAAGTAGATAAATAGGTACCGCTCCGGCGGGAAGGTATACGGCGTTTCCATGCCCTGCTCTGGTTCACCAGAGCCACATGACCCGGAAGCTGTATGCTGGCTCCCTCGGCCAATAAAGCGAGATGAGCGCCGCAACCCCAGAGTCGGTAACAACTGGACCTAATGGTCAGGGGTCCCTTTACATAAAGAAGTACTTTCTTCCACCTGTCTTGAGTCTTCCAACATTCCACTTCCTTGGATGCCCACGAGCTCTAGTGTTATGAAAGAGGGACAAACATTTTTCTCTATCCACCTTCTCCATGTCGGGCATAATTTTATTAATTTCTATTTTGTCAACTCTTCCTCTCTTTTTCTCAAACTAAAAAGTTCCAAACAGGGCAATCTTCATAGGGGAGTTGCTTCAGCACCTTGATAATTTTGACCACCCTTTTCTGAACATTTCCCAACTTATCCTTTTTGTAGCGACACAACCAGAACTGTATACAGCATGGCTATTTGATATTTAAGAAGCATACAAAAATCACAGTAAACCACACACGTTCATCCACTACTATAAATTCCCTTTTCACTTCTTACATTATTTTTTTACTGTAACATGTCATACTTTTAAATTCATAAATTAATGTAAGGCTTGTTTTTTCTTTCTTATCAGAAGAAGCAGAACTACATCAGCATCTAAATTGAGTACCTAATTAGTTTAATGAGCTTCCCAAGCTCAAGAGAAAGTTTAGAAAGCTATATAAAAATCTGGTTGTGCCTGTTTATAGAGTATTTTTGGATCTTAATTTTATTAAAAAATTAAACAAATGAATGGCTGTGTAACTCCATATGATCCAAAGTTTGTATGATTAGGTAATTAAAAAGTACATTTTGGAAAATGTGATCCAAATGTTTGAATAAAATTGCTAATTGCTGCTAGAAAAGTAAAACAGAGGGTCCCATCTCTTAAGTGTGGATTTGTATGTTACCATAGTGACACGGTTGCTGTTTCCCTGTGGAAACAGCACTGCTCTGTTAATGTCTATAAATAAATAAGAACATGAGTTGGATGAATTACACTATTCCTTTCTATACTAGCTTTGCTCCCCTAACAACAAGTGAGTTAGCCGTATAGAATTTTGGATATCGTGATAACAGCTGCCAGAATAACATAAGAAGGCCCATGATAGATCAGAACAAATGCCTATCTTTTCCAGCATGTTGGTCTCACAGTGGCCAACCATATGACTATGGGAAGCCCACAATCAGAACATTAACTCAAAGCACTCTCCCAGTCAGGTTTCTGGCATCTGGTAATTAAAGGGTCATATTGCCTCTGTTACTGGAAGTAATATGCCCAATGTGTTGTTGGATGATTAGAGTGGAATTCAGCACTGCATTATCACTGTTGTTCCAATGATGATGAAACAATCTCCACTCACCTCTCCCCTTGTGCTGTTCTGGGGGTTCCCTCAACCCTTGAGAGATTATTTGGGGTGGGGTGGCAGGGAAGCCCCATTGAACTAGTGGAGCTCATTGTGCTGACTCCTGCTAGTGCAACTGCTTAATTGAATCCACCCTAAAGCCCCAATATCCCTGATCATTGATTGGCCTTGCTGGCTGGGGCTATGTGTATTGAGTCCAACAAACATATGGAGGCCTATAGCTTCATCACCTCTATTATAGGTGCTAGTGCCTGGGGCCCTGGGTACCTGAGCACTTGCAAAATTCCCCATGAAGGGGCCGGGCAGCCACAAATTTTGGTGCCAGGGCAATGCACGCTGTATGGCACCCACAGCCCAGGGCACCCACAGTCATCGGAACTCCTTACCTCTATCATCCACAGGCATCTATTCTTCTGTACATTTTCTGGCCACCCAGAGTCAGGCATAGAGGGCAGGTTTTGCAGTCATGTAAAGTCCATGACTTTACTTTTCCATGAAGATATGACTGCCACCCATTCCTTTTACAGGAGAAAGTAAAGGATTGCACACTATTCGGTTGGGGCTTAAAGCTGATCTTTGCCCCTGGTGACTCCAAATCTGCTCCTATATTATTATTTATTAAATTTATCTACCACCCTTCATCCAAGGATCACACAGCAGTTTTCAATATAAAGACAGAAAAATACATAACATAGTAACAAACGAAACACACACACTCCCAGCAGTTTAAAAAGGCATAGATTATTTAATTAGCTGGGAGAAGAAGAATGTTTTTGCCTGGCACCTAAGATGGTGCCAGATGACTCACCCTGAGGAGAGCATTCCATAAGTGAGGAGGCACCACAGAAAAGGCTCATTCATGTGTTTCCATCCTCCAGAACTCTTGTGAAGGAGGGACATGTAGGAGGTCCTCAGCTGATGATCACATAAGCCAGCAATTTATCCCATTCTGTCCCATTCTGAGTTATTTTTCTTGGTCATGCTAGGATGAGGAAGACTGCTGGGAGCCGTTTAGCTACTCATTCTGTTTTCTTTGCTTTGAATGATGTTCTGGGAATAATCCTGGGAATAGTCTCTCACCACACATTTCTGTTTAAATATTCAGAACCATATTTACCTTTTCCTTTGTCTTGTACCGTTTGCTCAATATCAAAATATAATTTGATCTTCAATGTTTAGATTAAGAAGATTGATTTCAGAAAGGTCTCTGCGTGTAGTTAAATGTTTAACTAAGTATGCCCAAGTTTATCCTGATATGTTTTCCTTTGGAAATAACGATTATTAAGTCCTAAGGTCCAACATATCAAACATTTTCTACTCTGGACTATAGAAAACTAGAAGAGAAAATAAAATAAAATATTGCATATGTATTGTTCGTGAGTTGAACCATGTGGTTATCGGTTTGTCTAAACAGAAATTGTAGCATAATTTTCTATAAATATAGTGTTTGCGATGAGGATTCTCAATAATGTATCTTCCATATATGAACATGTGAAGATCAATCCAAGCAATTAACCCTCTCATCGGAGATGCCACTATCTGCTCAAAAGTAATTGGCACTAGCCTAACTTGAAAGCTCACAGTGTATCTTCACAATTTGAACTCAATCATTTATCATCATGCACAGCCAGATCAGAACCAATAATGAAGCATAAGAGCTTTTGGAAATAAAGTGCCTGGCTGCAGCTAGTGGGAATCG